CCACCCTCACAGGGAAGATTTATTTCCCAAAATTTAATCTAAACTTACTTTCAGTATGGAGGCATTTTCCCCCTTGTAATAACATGTAGGAGCACAGAGCATCCCCTCATGCTCTGCACACTCACACTGAACACTTCACAGTGTTCCAGGACAGCCAAGGCAAACCCCTCAGGTGGCCCCAGGTAAGAGCAGGATCTTTGAATGATTCCCCTTTTGTGATGGGTGAAAGAGTTTGAAATGCAGCCCTGAAATCCTGCTCAACTCAGACAGCCAGACTGTTCAGGCAGACAGCAATTTTTAAACAGTAACAGTACAGAACAAGTGGATTCCTCAGAGCTTTGTCTTAGGCAGTGGATAAAGCCCCGTTAAATGAGTGGTTTTGGGGCACTCTGGCTGTCCATCCTGGCTTGTAGGTCGTGATGTGATTTCACACAGCTTCAGTGCAATGCTCTGTCACCCCCTAATTCCTGAAAACATCACTCAGCAAACACTTTCACGCCATCATCTGCCTGATTATGCTGATTCCCAGAGCACAGTTCACTGTTCTGTGCCTCCTGATCAATGGTGCAGCAATTCTCACCAGCCCTGGTTCAAGAGGTTAAATAGCAGGTGCCTGCCCTGCATTTGCATTGGCACGGTGCTGCAGCAAAGGGCTTTGCATAAAAGGGCAAGGAGGGAGAAAACAAGCAAACCACAAACCCAGCAGTTCTAATTATTTCTTGGTAGACATTGAAAGTGACTCTGTACTAAAAAAAAAAATACAAAATATCCCAGCCACTTAATAATATTTATTTATCTCCTCCTCTGCTGAAAGGAAATAAACGTGCAGAGAACTGAAAACCCCACCTATGTGGTCAGTGGAAATTCACCCTCAATGAAAGTTGTGATAACTGAAACCTTTATAAAAGACATTAATTCCCAGTTTTTCAAGGGTACATAGTTACCCAGCTGCCCCTGAAATCCAGGGGGGTGAAGTGTGCAGGTACCTTTAGAAATTTCTGGGTTTATCCCCAGTGGGAACTGGGTCCATTTTTCATCAAAACAATGATTTATGTTTACATCCCTGTAGTTTGTTACCAGAACCTCAGCCTTTGCTTTTCAAGGTCTAAGAGAACTCAGAAAAGATGCTCAATAATGTGTATTTTATCACCCCAAGTGATTCTTAACACCCTCCTAATTGTGTCTCAGCAAAGGCCCTGCTGGATTTCTTATGGAATCCCAGAATCCCAGAATGGTTTGGGTTGGAAGGGACCTTAAAGACCACCTCATTCCACCCCCTTCCATGGGCAGGGACATTTTCCACCAGACCAGGCTGCTCAGAGCTCCATCCTACCTGGAACAAGATGATCTTTAAGGTCCCTTGTCTTCAGCCAGAGTCCTCGTTCCATATCTGGTCCCTGGTTGCACACACGTGGATGCCTGCAAACCATTTGGGTTGGAAAATCAAAATCAATCAATTGAGCTCTCTGCAAAACACCATTAGCACTCAAAGGATGAATCACCTTGTTGTTGGAGGCTCTAAGTTTCCTCTGATGAATCATCCCCTTGTTGCACTGGGGGTTGTGTTTGTTCCCCACCTCTGAGCCCCAGCCAAGGGAGCTGAGAACCTGGGCCAGGGCTGGAAGAGTTGTTTGGTTTTATTTTTTAATTCTATTTATTAAGATTTTTTAATTCTATTTATTAAGATTTTTTAATTCTATTTATTAGGATTTTTTAATTCTATTTATTAAGATTTTTTAATTCTATTTATTAGGATTTTTTAATTCTATTTATTAGGATTTTTTAATTCTATTCATTAGGATTTTGTAATTCTATTTATTAGGAACCACCCACGTGGTTCCCAATCCAAGCCTGATCACTGACTGATTAAGTGACACCCCAGTATCTCATTCCCAGCACTGTTGGGATGACACCTTTGCCTGTGACCATAAAACAACCCCTTGAGGGAGATGCTGCCTGTCTCTTATCTCTCATCCAGCATATTGGAAGCTTTCCAAGAATAGCAATGTTCTTTTTTCATTTTGTTTCTCAAATAAGATTACTGCATAAAAATAGACATCAGACAGGAGGAAAATGAGAGCAAAAAGGAAAGGTTAGAGCTGCCACTGCACAGTGTTATCTCCTTGGGAAGATGCACAGAATTTATTCATGCTGTGCAGCCGACTTACTTGTTCAAAAGAATTGTATCTCTCAGTCTTGTAAGGCAGTGGAAAATCAGGTATATTAAATTAACTGAAACTGGGGGAAAACCACCTTTTAATACTGTAGGTGAGATGCACCATCCATCTCTTTTGGAGTGCAGAGGCACTCAGATAGATAACAAAATGCAAGAATAAAACAATACAAGTGGAACAGTTATAGAAGTGCAATACCTTTCACAAATTTATTTGCTCAGTAGGAATTATTGTCTGCCCAAGCACTCCCACTTCTTCCTGTGGAGCATCCCCCAAACAAGGCACCTGCCT